TCTGTGTACTCTGGGGCTGGGGAGACGGTACAGTAATTGGGAGTCCATGCTGCTCTTGTAGAGAACCCAAGTTCAGTTCCCGGTATCAGTGTTAGACAGCTCATAACTGCCTGTCACTACAGCCCCAGGCCATCTGAAGCCTCTGCCCTCCGGCACCTGCACTCACATGCAGAACCCACACACGTACATGCCATTCAAAATAAATTAATCTTTAAAATAAAGAAATCCATATTCCCAGTCTGTGCTCCAATTCCATAATGTCAAAGAATGGATGATAATAATACTTAACTCTTGAAATATTAAATGGTAACAGGCATATAAAGAATTATCTGGTACGGTATGTGACACATCCCTCCCCCAATACTCAGAAAAATGGCTTTGCTTGCCATTGTTACATCTTGGATATTATAAGGAGAAGGCTGACAGTGAGTCTTGTGTACGATAATGAACTTGCTAGTCTGTTCCAGGGAAGGTTGACTTCATTGCCTGGGTGACAGACAATTATGTCTTCAGCTACTGACAGGTGTCTTGATAGCAACCAAGCATTTCTAAAGGGGTGTGCTTATCCTATAAACTCCCTGGAGACGCCTGGTGGGGGCTTAAGGGGACACATAAGCCTGGTCCCAGCCCTCCTGGAACTTAGCCTAAGCCAAAGAAGAGAATGCAGGCTGGGCTAGTGGACCATCAGAAGGGGCGTCCCCAAACCTCCTCAGATGAAGAGCGGAGGAAGCTCAGAGAAGTGCATCTTATCTAGGCAGAGATCATCAAAGACAGACCCATCTCCCCTCTTTCTGCAGCCAAATTTGTTCCTCCTCCAGGATCCCATCGTCACAGATGGGTACCACCATGTGCTCGTTGTCCTAGCTGAGGATCTAGGAGGGACGGTGTCTGGTCTTCTTTTCCCGGCTTCCTATCCCCAGGTACCCACCAAGCTCCTTGCTTCGATCTTCCTCGAAGTCCTTTCTGCAGTTCCTTATCCTTCTCATGGCTAAGGGTCTCCAGACCCTTTGCCTCAACATCTGCTGTAGGTCATGTTAGAACACCCTTCGCACAACCCAACACCAGAGTTTCTTCGAATTCATTAGCACCTGACGCCAGCAGGGGCCATCACGGTCATCTCCCTGGTCCAGCATCCTGTCCAGTCCTTCTGTGCTGGGCCAGATCTCAGCTTCCTCCCTGCTAGACGAGTGCTCTACCACTGAGCTTCCTGGCCTCAGCCTCTAATCGTCATTCTTCTTCACGTTTTCCACCTTTATCTCAGATAGGAAATACATTAAAATAAATCTTCTCTGATGTCAGATCCCCACAGAGTTAATGTCAGGGTCCCTCACGTGGTCTGCTCTGCTTTCCATTATCTGGCTCTATCCATTCCTTGCCCATCCTTTACTGGTTGTTCTAAAATCCTTTCTGATGCTCCGGTAAAACACTGACCAAAAGAAACTTAGGGAGGAAAGGGCGTATTTGACTTACACATCCAGGTCACGCCTCATCATTAAGGAAAGTCGGGGTAGGAACCTGAAACAGAAACATGGAGGACCAGGACGCTGGAGCACTCATCAGCGTGGTGCCCGCAGGCTGATGCTTAGCTTTCTTATACGCTTCAGGACCACCTAAGGATGGCGGTGGTGCATCAGTTAGTAATCAAGATGATCTTCCACAGATGCGCTAAATTGGGCCCAGGCAGTTCCTCTCAGAGGACACTAGGCTGTGTCAAGTTGACAGTTAGATCTAATAAGGCCCAACACCTAGTCCAGAGAATTCCCTCAGCCATTTGTGCTGGTTTTTTACCTTGACTTCGCACTGTTTCCACAATGACCCTTTTTGCTGTTAACCCATCCACACCACAGAGGACGCCCCCTCGGGAGAAGTGCCCACCCGGGTGTGCAGGTGGGCTGGAAACATCACCTGTGTGCTTTCCACTCGTGGCATATCCCTGGATCTCACCTTCCCTCTGGTCTATCCCACCTCAACACTGTGAACTTCTTGAGAGAGAGGACCCAATATATTTTTTTTTCTTTGTAGTCACATGTCAAGTGGTAGATTGCCTAAGATTGAGTTGGAGATCTTGGATGTTAAAGACAAGAGGGACCCAGAGAGTCAAGCTGGAAGAGGGATGTATTTTAGCTGGAAGGAATGAAGGGAGGACTTGAAATGTGGGGAGGGGGGAAGTCAGATATTCCAGAGGGAGGCAGCTTGTTCCTAAGCTTCATCCTGGTCAGGCTTTGGTATAGACGTCGGAAGAAGTGAGAAGTAAGGAGTAGTCTAGTTTGATGGGATATAGAGAGTAACCGTAACCTGAGCCAGATGGTCCCAGGATGCATCGGGGCGGGTAGAGGGTAAACTGAATGAGACTCAAGAGTGTGGTTCTGGGTCTGGTGGGCCTAGCAGCTCCACTGGGACGTTCTTTAGGCTTTCTACCTTCTGTGCTTGTGTGCTTACCTCCTGTCCAAGTAAGTAGGGTGAGCGGACACGGGCAGTGGAATCAGGAGGAATCCAGGCGCGGCCCTGGAGGAGCCAGGAACAGCAGGGGTGCACTCTTTGGTGACTTTAGGTAGTGCCAATGCTGCCGTGATGGCACCGGTGTAAGTAGGATCAAGGAGAAAGAAAGGGCAGGCTCTGAATGACAGCAGGAAGGCTGGGAAATGGGCAGCAGGGCTTCGGGAGGCCATTGCTTGTCACTAGAAATGGGTCACGTGTTAGCATTTGGGAAGGTCAAATGGTGCCTGGACAAGGAGTGTTCAGCCTGTGCATATGACAGAAGTGACTTACTGTTTAGGGGAACAATGACAAGCATGGAAGAATGCGCTCTGCCCTCATTCCACTAACGTGATAAATGTGAGCGCTGGCGTCTTGAGTGTGTTTGAGGATATGTCTAGAAAGGGTTCCGCATTGTCCCCGCTAATCCATTTTCCTTGAGAAATAGACAGCTTTATGACTACGGCAGTGCTCTCAAAAGTCCTACTGATAATGTGTTTCGAGGGGGTGCTAGAGTATTGAGTCTGGGATAGAGCCAATGTCTTCCAGTTTGCTTCTGCCGTGCTACTGGACACATACTTTATATGACTGCTATGTACACAGAGAAGTATCTGGATTAAAATAATACAGCGATAAAAGCATGAATCATCTTTGTCTTAAACACACACATAGGCAAGAGTTCTTTTCCTAAGTAGTCATCCTCTGAGACACATTAGCAATGCTGAGATGCTTATGCCTATAGATGGGCAATCCATAACAGCTCAGAATTAACAATGTGGAAGCTTGACTACCAGAAGCAAGGGCTTGCTGTGAGTACTTGGAAGGGAAACTGGAGGGAAACAGGATCCAATTTCCTTTGCACTCAAGCCCAAGGAAGGACTAGGCCATTATTCACCATGCTCTCCCCAGAGTCTCCCAGCTAACAAAAATCCCAGGTTTCAGAGCTGAGTCATTTAACTGTTAAATTCAACTTGATTTCTCCAACTATTAATTAACTTATAATCATTTCTCCGATTATTAAGAGTTAGCGGGTTTAGACTGATTGTCTGGGTCTGTAAAGGAGCATGTGTTTGACTGAGTTAATTTATCACATGAATAATGATCAAGCATATACCCATGGCACAGCCCCTGTGTTCCCCTTGGGAACCAGAGAGCCAGGGCCTGTTCTGTTTGAGAACAACTGAAGTTGTCCTAAAGTCTCGGTTCACTCTTGTCTTTGCTACTGTGCTGAACATGTGAATGGCCATTCTCGTTTCTAAGTTTTCAACTTCCTCTGGCTAATAGACTCTGAAATACTGCATCTCTGACATTTATCTACGGTAGCAGTCTTCAGAATGCATTTAAAAAAAAAAAAAAGATCACCATGTCCATTTTGGTAGGGCCAACTGGAAATTCTAGAGAAAGAATTCAGGATGTCAGGGAGGCCTAAAAATGCCTGGAATTTCTAACTCATTTCACTGAGTGTTTTCTGTATCATGACATGTCCTAGGAGACCGTAAAAGTCAGCTTATATCAACATAAAATGCATTTTGCCTTACTGATAACTGCAAATAAATAATTCACATGACCACCCACCAAAAGATTCCAAGGCCTTCAGAGGCCTGGGAGCTCCCCCTGAAATATATTCCTTATGAATTTGTATACTCAAAGAGAAAAATAATAAGGGGTGCTTATTTTATCCCCACTTTAAATGCTATAACACCGGCTTGAAATATTTCTGTAATCTCAAAAATGTCACAGGAATATAAGAAAATGACTAACACCTTTTCCTGGTGTGACTTTAAAGGAGGCAATTAAAAGTATTACCACACCTGCATTTCAGTCCTGTAAAATGCAGTTCATTTCTTTGGTTGAAATTACTTAATCTGGGGCTGAGAGGATGGCTGGGGGGGGGGGGGGGGGGGAGAAGTACTCACTATGTACGTGAGAGGACCTGAGTTCGAGGGCCCAGACCCAATGTAAAAGCCATGCACATAGCACCAGCAAAGGTAAATCCAGATCCCCAGGATCCTGTGGCCAAAGGGGAGGCGGAGGCAGAATTCTTAGAACTCACAGGCCATACACAGCTTGGCATACACAGAGGAAAAATGGTCAAGAAACTCTTTCTTAAACAAGGTAGAAGGTAAGGACGCACACCCAAGGTTGTACTTGCAACTCAATATGCTCTCTCTCTCTCTCTCTCTCTCTCTCTCTCTCTCTCTCTCTCTCTCTCTCACACACACACACACACACACACACACACACACACCCCGAACACACTTGAAAAAATGATTAATCAATCAATTGCATAGTCCTTCGAGCAATGATCAACTAAATTGGTTACAGGGCTATCAGTCTGGAGAGAAAGCTGCTTTAGTCATGAAAGAACCTTAGGGGCGAGCTCACGCTTTGCAACAAATTCAGCTGCCTGGTCCTGGCCCAGAAGATATAAGTGGGGGTGGAAGAAGGAGGCCAGATAACCTTCAGTTTAATGTGACTTGAGGATTTAGTTCCCGCACATGCTAATCCTGTCCTTCCTTTAATAGATGGAACTGATTAAGAATATCAGCACCGCCGAACAGCCCTATTTATTCACGAGACATGTTCACTTCCTCAACTTCTCCAGGTGAGTCTCTCTCCAGCTTTGTGGTCACTTCCTGTCTTCTGAGTCTTTATGTGCCATCTAATGAGCAATGCCTTAGCAGGCTACCTGGACAACAACCCAGAGTCATCGCCCTCGAAAGACAGAGACACCTGTTCAATCTAGTTAGCTTTGCTACAGAGAATTCAAAATCTGAAGCATTTGTTCCTACAACACATCTGAAATAGTATAAAAACATGGAATTATTTTCAGTGAGAAGACTTTTGATGGCACAGTACTTGAAGGGGGGGGGATCTGATTTTTGTATTGCAACAAAGAGACGAAAAATGAGAATTTGGTCACACGTTTTTCTGCAGTGTGAACCTGCATAGCACTCTCGGATCAACACAACAGTAGGGTAATGAATGTTTCTTCTGCTCCAAAGAGTTCGTGCCAACCTCCAACCAACGTTTTCTGTTTTTAAACTAAGCATCCCTAGTCTTGCATAGTTGATGATGGTAAGATATCTTTGATCCGTTTGCTTGCTTGTTTGTTTTGTCCCGTGGCTTCCTCCTTTTAATAGTGTAGGTTTTCAAACTCAGATTGGGGGGCCTACTCTTGATTAAATTGCAGCTTCGAGTTCTGTGTGTCCTTTCTCTGGCCCATTATCACCCCCTAGAGTGTCATTGCTCCTTGGACAGGTGGCCCTTAGGGACAGATGGCTGTGCCTACTGGCTGGGCCATCTACTCACAGTTGGTATCTGTCAGTCAGAAGATCACTGGGTCCAGAGACTGATCTGCTGACTAGCCCAGGGCTCCTGAGACCCCTGGCTAGCAGTCTAACAGAGCCATCTTAACCTTAGGGTAACAGTTCCATCAAACGGTCCAAAGAGTTTACCGGGGTGCTCCATTCACGCGCAGTGTGTACCAGCTGTCAGTTGGTGCTGACCCAGTTGCCGCTGTGGGCTGGTGCCTCAGGAGGCTGGCTGTGGAGAGGCTCTGCTGCCCAGCCTGATGCCTGACATCCCACCGGGGCTTGGTGCAGGTTTTAGCCTTCAAAGGACTTCCCTGCTGCCCAGGTGGTCCTGTGCCAATTACGTGTAAAGGAGGAATCCGAGTCAGCAAAGGTACATTATTAAGCAGAGGAGTTGCCACGTTCTAGTTCAAAGTGAGCCTCCCAGGCCTGAAGTCCCCCCCCGGGCCTGCTTGATGAGCCAGAGTTCTGTGGGACAGGAAATAGAATGCTTAAAATGGCCAACAGTAACAGGGCTGGGCACTGGCCCCGCTCACCGTTTTTCAACATGGCTCGTTGCTGGGTTGGCTGGTGTATGCACCCTGATTCTCCTCTCCAGAAGTCATGCCATTAGTCATAATGAGGCTACTGGGATTTGATGGATGTTCTGGGCCCTGTGTTTGATGATTTGTAAAGAGAGAGAGATTTCTGGTTTGGGTTTGTTCTAGTGACTTCCTTCTGCGCCACCCTTGACACCTTCAAACTTCAGTCATTAACTCCTCTTTCTTTCGAGGTTAGATCTTTACATCCGAGCTGCAATACAACAAATCTGAATAATGATCTCAGGCCAGTTCAAAACTCTAATGAGAAGCCGAAACCGGTATCTTAATTAGATCAGCAGCGCCCAGCATGGTGGCTGTATTTTATCCTGATCTCTACTGTCAAATACAGGGGTAGAATCTTGATTGCTTTAACTTTGGATGAAAAAAATAATAATAATAAATCAAAAGCCTTTTAGAAGATACCACATCTGCAGAAGACGGTGGAGCCCTGGCTGGCAGGGCCCCTAAGTGTCACAGCCTTCCTGCTGCCCAGGATGAGGGCAAGCCATGCAGCCTTTTGGGGGAAGGCTATCTGTTTTCTCATTTTTAGAGTTTGGGGGACAGATCCTTCCCCCTTCCTTCTGGTACAGATGGTTGGACCATGAGGAAACACCCTCTGAGAGAGGGATGTGACAGGAACTCACAGTGACTTTTAATGCATCTCTGTGGCAGTCCTGGAGCTGGCCCTAGGCTCACTAGTCCACAGTGATCCTCCAGCCGGAGCAGACAGACTCACAGGCAGGCTGTCTCCTCTCCCCCCATCGCTCATCCCAGAGCACATTGGTGAAGCATCCTCCCTCCACCTTCTCTATGCTAGGGTAGCTGGGACTCCCTAGTGAACTCAGAATGTTCCCCCCCTTTCTTTGGAATCCTTGAATTGTTCTCCCACCGCAGAAGTGTGTGGTCAAATGTGATGGGTGCAAGGAGAGAAGTCATCGGGCTTCCCCTAGGGGAGACGGGAGAGCAGCAGACTCCTCCTGGTTCTGCTTAGGCATGAGATTCCAGTCGGCTTTAGAGCAATGAGAGGCGAGGACATTCCCAGTAGAGGAGCAGCAGGAGTGAAAGCAGTCCAGAGAAGAGCTGGAGGAATGCACCAAGGATAGACAAGAGGAGGGACCTGGCTGGAGAGGAGATCGGGCTGTGCATGGCCTGCTGAGGTTGCTCCTGTGGGAGCTGCCCATCCTTCTGTTCTCCCCTTCCTGCAGCCCAGGACCAGGCCTTAGCTATAAAGAGCTTGAAGGTAAGAAGAGCTTGGATACTTGGCAGGACCACTGTTAAGCTCATAACCAGGGGATTGAGAGTCAGCTCACCTTCGTTTCCAAGGGCGTATCTTTATTTACGGACCTCTTCAGTATAAGTAGCAAACTGTGACTACACAGAGAAAGTCCCCCTCAAAAAACCCAAGGAGCAAGAAAAACAGCCAAGTTGGGAGTTGTTAGATACCTTGAAACCTGAGCTCTCTGTTTTTGAATTCTGAGCATAAAACGTATGGAGCTGCTCTCGAGGAACCTGCCCCTACAACCAGTGAATGCTGCTCGAGTGAGAAACCAGACGAAGAGACCAGACTAGTTAATATTTCTAAACTTTGTTAATATTTCTAAACTTTCATGCATCATTAACTGGTAGCAATATCCTTGCTGTTGAACAGCCTACCAGAATCAGGCTGGATCCCCACCCCTACCCCCACCCCCACCCCTGATCCCATCTCTTTTTTCTCACATGCGTGTTATGAAGTCTTGAAGGCCCTGCACGTATAGCAAATTTTTGTTTTGCTTTTTTTCTCCCTTTTATCTTTCTCCATGAAGAATGGCCTTCTTATCTGACATGTAGGCAAGAACAGCAATGTAAAATGCTGTCCTGGGCGCTCTGGGCTGTTCTCTAGTCAGCTGACCTCATGTACCCATCACTCAACCCCTTGCTCTTTACTCATTTTCTGCTGCGTCCGAAGGGATCCTTTGGCCATTTGCAGCTCTGTTCATCCCACCAATCAGGTGTTACCGCAGGGACTGTGGAGCCGGCTTCCTGCCAGAGCCCTACCAGCTCGGCAAAGAGCTCAGGTTTGGTCTGGGTTTGCAGGGTTCTCCCTAGGGTGTTCTCTGATACCTATTTTGAACTCCTTGGAAATGTGGGCCAGACAAATGTTTATTCCTCTGGATGAAGGGAGAACTGAGTCCCAACCACCCTGGCCCAGAAGGCACTGCTCTTCGTGGGGACGCCGAAGATGGGCCTTTATGATTGTGGGTTGTAGCTCCTTATGTCTTTCACTGGTTGTTGAAGTAACTTTGGGATATATATTTAAATCTCAACACTTCAACATCAGCAGCCTCTCTGGAATGTGTCTTTGATGAGTATGCTGCACCGACTGCGACATACGGAGTTCAGCTTGTCTCTCCTGACACCCCCCACCCGACCCCTGCCCTTTGTTATTTGTCTTCTGAACTTCTGTGGGGACCAGAGGATCATATTTTGTCCCAATCTAGACTTTCTCTCCACCCTCAACTGTGTTCTCCTTGTGTGGCAACTTTGTAAATGACACTAGGACTTGAGGCCACTGAAGCCGTCAAGTAAACCATAGGGGTTCTCGTGCTGAAAATGGCAAACCTTCTTCCTTTAACCTTTCCTGTTTCAGTTTTGGGTTTTTTTTTTTTTTTTTGAGACAGGGTTTCCCTGTGTAGCCTTGGCTGTCCTGCAAGATGTTCTGTAGACTAGGCTAGCCTCGAACTCACAGAGACTAGCTTGTCTCTGCTTCCTAAGTGCTGGGATTAAAGATGTGGGCCACCACTGCCTGGCTCCCTTAACCTTTCTTATGCCTCCTTTTTACCCAGGATTCTCCTTGACACCCCCAATTTCTGTTTCCTCCTCCGCTCACAGGGTAGCCCCAATGTCAACACTGACCTGTGAAAAAAAAAGGTAGAAAGAGAAGGGAGGAACAAAGAGAGGCTGCTGCGCTGCCCGCAGAGGCATTTGACACTTTCTCAAGTGAAGTCGGAATTACTATGGGAACAGAGCTTGAAAGCAGCCGCCCTTTGAAGGCATCCTTTTCAACCCAGCCAGTCAGACCGCAACACTCCCACAATCCACTGCAGCTTCTGCCTCTCTTCTCTAGCTGTTGACTTTGCTCCCCTTCTCACTAGCAGTGGGATCCCTTTGGATTCTGATCCCTTTAATGTTGACCTAGAAGCTTCAACCTTGGAAAAATCAAAATAAAGAAAAAAAAAATATGGATGCAGGGTGTTTGACACTTGTCCCCACCTACTTACACAGAGCTGGGCGATGGCGTTCAAGGGGAGAGCTTTATTGCGAGCTCTCCGGATTTAGATCTGAATTTGTCTTCCGCGGGCAGCAGTCTCCCTCAGCTTCGTACTGTAGGGAGCAGGCCCCTGTGGCCATGAGTTCAGCCATCACGGTAGCCCATCCAGGACAAGCATAGTCTGAGTTTTTCCCCAGGTCACCTCATAGATTTTTTTCTTTTTCTGTTTTTTTCCCCCTTACCATTTCATCCTCCTCTCTGAGCAGGAACCCTGATGTCATCGGCCCGGTCCCTCCTTTTCTCTCCTTCAGGCCGTTGTCACCAGCTCCCCACAGCAAGCGCTGACTCCACTTCCCTCCCCTCAGCGCAAGCTAGAGAGCAAAGTCTACTGGTGGTGTGCACAGCCAGCCGCAACGTCTTCTACTGGTGTGGTGTGCACAGCCAGCCGCAACGTCTTCTACTGGTGTGCACAGCCAGCCGCAACGTCTTCTACTGGTGTGCACAGCCAGCCGCAACGTCTTCTACTGGTGTGCACAGCCAGCCTCAACGTCTTCTACTGGTGTGGTGTGCACAACCAGCCTTGACATCTTCTACTGGTGTGCACAGCCAGCCTCGGCATCAACTGGTGTGCAGAACCAGCCTTGACATCTTCTACTGGTGTGCACAGCCAGCCTCGACGTCTTCTACTGGTGTGGTGTGCACAACCAGCCTCGGCATCTTCTACTGGTGTGCACAGCCAGCCTCGACATCAACTGGTGTGCAGAACCAGCCTTGGCATCTTCTACTGGTGTGCACAGCCAGCCTTGACATCAACTGGTGTGCACAGCCAGCCTCGACATCAACTGGTGTGCACAACCAGCCTTAACATCTTCTACTGGTGTGCATAGCCAGCCTTGACATCTTCTACTGGTGTGCACAGCCAGCCTCGACATCTTCTACTGGTGTGCACAGCCAGCCTCGACGTCTTCTACTGGTGTGCACAGCCAGCCTTGACGTCTTCTACTGGTGTGCACAGCCAGCCTTGATGTCTTCTACTGGTGTGCACAGCCAGCCTTGGCATCTTCCTGCCTGTGTCTTCGTGTCCAATGAGACGCTGCCTATTGGTCTACATGACAGAGAGGTTCTGCTGGTCGGCAATGGTCGTTGTTCCTTACCCAGAGGTGGCTATACCATTGAGGTCTGTAAACTTGCTGTGCCTTTTTCATCGTCCTGTTCCCTGGAATTATTACTGTAGTTTCTGTTTATCATCATTGTGAACCCAGTTTGTTAAGAGAGGATGAGAAATCCAGGGTTTGTGTTTATGCAGGTTAGCTGGTGATAGGCACAGCTAGCTCCTGGGACTATAGTGAGCTATCTGTCCAGTAGCACGGATGTCATCTTGCTTACATCCCAGAATGGACAAGATTCATTTTAGCAGGGCGAACCTCACATAGGCAACATGTCTTCCTATATGTCAGTACTGGGGAATCCAAATTAGCGTGTTTCCATCCTGGGGCCTGAAATTCACAACCGGAGAGTCCTTCCTTTGTGTTCCTTTAGAATCTTCTTGTTTTTTTGTACACGTGCACATGATGACAACCTTTAGTATCATTTCTCAGGTGCCTTTTGTTTGAGACAGGGTCTCTCTGGCCTGGAGCTTCAAAGAATAGACTAAGCTAGCTGGCCAGTGAGTTCCAGGGTCCTCCTTTCTCTGCCTCACATTTCACCATTGCTGGAATTACAAGCACATGGCTCCATGCCCAGCTTTTTACATGGGGGCCAAATTCAGTTCCTCTTGGACAGCGAGTGCTTTATAGACTGAGCCGTGTCTCCAGTCTTTAATGTCTTCTTATTGAATATCTTTAAATGTACAAATATGCTGGGTCCAACCATGTATGAATTTAATGCACAAAAACATATTGGTGACTTGTATCTACTTTGCTCTAGCAATATGACATTTATACTGACAGAAGCTGAGCAACCAGGAAGCATGCATGAAGTCATTCCTGTCTGTATTTAGTCGCCATCTGTTGAGTGCCTACTGTGTGCTCTATACCACTAGACGACATATGCCCTGGCCACTGGAGGCTCACAGTCTGTTGTGAGAGACAGACATGTCAACACAGTAGGAAAGCCGGAATTCAGGAACCAAGAACACCGAGGTCAATTGCTAACAGTGTATAAAACCTGGTGCACCTGAGGCCCGAACAGGATCTCAACTTCAGGGCAGACTTAGGTTGAGATCAGCCTGAGCTACATGAGATCCTGACTCCAAAAAACAACAGAACAGTTACTGAAGTTATAGGATTATGACTCAGGCTGGATTTTGAATGATGAGCAGATAGTCCTCTAGCAAGAGAGCTGGGATCTGGATCCTGTCAGCTGTTTTATCTGAATATTTTCTGTCCCTTGGTAAAATGCTAAACAGTTTCATCAGATGGGGGTTGCAGGTTCTCTCCAGAAGTCAATAGAACCTCATCACAGGGCCATAGGTTCTCTCCTAAGATCACTAGAAAGTGGCCTCTGCCCAGAGCCTGAGCTCTTGCCACAAGCCTCGCCCTGGGATCACTTCCTTTGAGCAGTTCAGAGGGCGGGGTAGGGGGTAGAGGGTAGAGGGTGGGGGTAAGTCGGGGGTGGGAGGGTGAGAACCTGAAGGGAATTTCAGGTTCCTGATGTTGGTCTTGAAGGTCATCCACTTGGACAGGCTCTTACTGCAGATGTGGAATCCCGTGGAAGTATTATAAAGCTAGAGCAGCCATCCAGAATGGCCACCTTGTGGCCCCTGGCCCAAGTCCACCCTGGGATAACCATGAATGCAACGCAACACAAAAAACTAAAAAAGTTACTTAATCCATTGGGAAACATTGCTCAGGTCTTTGTTTAGAACTCAGTTGCATAGTTCTAGAGTACAGACTTGGTAGATGACAACATCTATCACAGTGTCACATGTTGGACATGCCTGATAGATACATACTTCAGTTGTTTTCAGATCGAGTATCATTATGTAGCTTAGGCTGCCCTCAGACTCCTAAGTCTCCTGTTTCAGCCTCCATGCTGGGGAATAATTCCATCACCTGAGGAGAATTATCTTGATTTGCACTTCTTTCTTATATTTTTGCATCATTACTTTTCTTAACTCTGGAATTTTCTTTCTATGGTTAAAAGTAAAGATTCTGGATCCAGATAACTACTTTTCATTTCCTGGCATAGCCACAAATTATTTATACTCTTTCTGCCTCAGTTTCCCCAGGCATAATGGTGATAACTCTGGTTTTCAGTCCATGGAAGATGGCAGGTCTTCTCTGAGTTTGCTGTGTCAAGTATTAAGAACATGATGAATAGTAAATATTCAGTGATGGTGACTGTTTCCACTCCAATTACCTTAGAGCACTTGGCTGAAATAATGTGAATTACAAAATAGAAGTGCTGTGTCACCACTAACGCATTCAGAATCAAGCAATAGATTCAAACAATCTCCAAGGGCCACCTGTATGCCAGTGGGTTCTGCACCAGCCACTGGGAATACAAGGTCTAGTCCTCGACAAAGCTGTACCTACTGAGAAAACAAGACATTTGTACCTTAACACTGTCACGTGGCATGATATGTAGAGTGCTTTCCTTAAAAAACAAACAAACAAACAAAAAACTGGTCTTACAGTGTCTGGATGGGCATCTAGATCATGAGTTTCTGTTTCCTGCATGGTAACAAAATGCCTATCGATTTACAGTTGCCTGTTTAAGTGGTGGGAGGCACCTCAGAAAAGGGGCAATGGTTGGATTCGGTTAACCTAGAGGGGAAATTTGTCCCAGCAGGCCTTATTTTCTTGCAGCAGGGATGAGTTGTAACAGACTCCTTGTTTGTGTGCCCTGTTTGTTAGGTTTGGAGGAGACCAGCCCGTCTACATCAACATCATTAGAGACCCCGTCAGTAGGTTTCTGTCAAACTATTTTTTCCGTCGCTTTGGAGACTGGAGAGGGGAGCAGAATCACATGATCCGCACCCCCAGCATGAGGCAGGAGGAGCGTTACCTGGTAAGTTCTGTTGCATGGCCGAGGTGGCTCTCTGCTGCCCTTGGAGTGGCGAGTCCAGGTTGGGAGTTCCCACACTGTGGAAGCCTTTGTGGGTGAGAACTTGTTCCAGATGGCCCAGCGCACTACAGCTGGTTCCAGATTGGCTTTGCTCAGTTTTGTCTTTATCGCTGAGTTTTAGGACACTCCTTGGGAGCCCTGACCTGCCACTCCCATCGTCGTTAACAACAGATGTGTGTAGGGATCTCTCTCAGAGGGTTGCAATGTTTGTTCTCATTCTTCCTTCTCTTCAGTTCCCATGGCAACCTCTTGAGGGAGTGGGCTTTTTCACGTGAGGACCTTGAGATTCCAAAAGGACCTAGGAGTCCTGGCCCCCCAAAGGTGGATCTTGGAGTTGCTAGTCCTCTGACTTCAGGCTTTCCTCCCATGACTGTCTGCAGTGCTGAACTTGGCTTTTCCGAATCTCCAGACTAATGTTGGCCTCCAGTTGTTTAAAAAGAGCACAGGGACTACTCACAAAAATGGAAGGCTGAGCTGTGTGCCTCATTCCAGCCTGCCACACACCAGAATGAAAGGCCCATTTCTCATCTCTTCCTAACATGGGGACAGAAGCTTACTGAGGAGCTCTGAGCTCCGGTTTTCATGCTTAGACTTGTTAATCCCCCAAGATGCCTCCTGGTAATGATTCTTAAAATTTTTCTAAGCATTTCAATATTTCTTCATTTCCCTAAAGATCCAGTGATTTTTTAATTCTTTAGTTTAGTTTAGTTTATGGTATCAGGTGCCCTTATCTTTGTCTTTAAATTGCCAGTTAGGAGTACGGCTACTGATAGATTTTATTTGGTGACATGATGTATGTAGTCAAAATACAGACTCACTTCCCAAAGGAATAACGTTTTCTAATTATCTTTGTTGTTTGTATTGACTCTTACAATAGGTTTATGTTCGTTTTAAAAGAGTACATCCTATTTAATTAAAAATATATTTCAAAGATCTGACTTAGTCTTAATACTAAGAAAATGCTGAGAAGGAAAAGATATGGAAATGAACTGTCTCTGTTTTTTATTGGAAATAGATTCTTCTCTCATCCAATACATCTCAACCATAGTTTCCTCTCCCTCCACTCCTCCCAGCTCCCTCCCCTCAACCTCAACCTCCCCTCTTGCCCAGATCCACTCCCCCTCTGTTTCCCCTCAGAAAGGAGCAGACCTCCAAAAGACAGCAACCAAACATGACAAAACAGATGCAATAAGATGAAGCAAAAGCCCTCATATGAAGGCTGGACAAGGCAACACAATAGGAAGAAAAGAGTCCCAAGAGCAGGCAAAAGAGTCAGAGATATATTGGCTCCCACAATTAGGAGTCCCGACAAAACACCAAGCTAACAGCCATAACGTACATGCAGAGGGCCTTCCACAGACCCATGAAGGTTCCATGATTGCCACTTCAGTTTCTGTGAGGCCACATGAGCCCTACTTTGGTGATTCAGTGGGCCATGTTCTCCTGGTGTTCTCCATCCCCTCTGACTTCTGCAATCTTTCCTCTTCCTCTTCTATAGGGTTGCTCAAGCTCTGAGGGGAGAGACCCAATGGAGATCTCCAATTTAGATTGTCTCTCCACTTAGTGTCTGGCTCTGGGTCTCTGCACCTGCTCCCAGCTGCTGCAGGGAGAAGCCTCTCTGATGAGGACTGAACAGGCACTGATCTATTAGGAATTATTTCATCGATTTTTTTTTTCCAGTTGTGTTTGGTTCTACCCTTGGTCTCCCCAGTTCCTGGTCATTCAGGCAGTGTAGGCCATGGGTTCCCTTTTGTGAAGTGGACCTCAAGTTAACCACAGATATTGGTTGACCACTCAGACAAGTTCTGTGCTACCATTGTCCCAGCACATTGTATAGGAAGGACAGACTGTAGATCAAAGGTTGTTGTTGGGTTTTGTTTGTTTGTTTGTTTGTTTTGGTTGGTTTGTTTGTTTTTGTTTTTTCCAGACAGGGTTTCTCCATGTAGTTTTGGTGCCTGTCCTGGATCTCGCTCTGTAGACCAGGCTGGCCTCGAACTCGCAGAGATTCTCCTGGCTCTGCCTCCTGAGTGCTGGGATTAAAGGCCTGTGCCACCGCTGCCGCCGCCGCCACCGCCCAGCCTAAATCAAAGGTTTTGTGGCTGGGTTGGTGTCCAGGTTTCTCTTGCAGTAGCCTGGAGAGTACCTTTGCACACCAAAGAGACTAGAATATAGGGGTGAAGGCTCCATGTGGGCACCAGCTTGATCTCTCTGTATTCAGTGAACTGTGTGGATATTGTCCTCCACAACAAAGCCCCACTGTCAAGTTTTTGGGGAGCTACCCTCTATCCTAGCGTCAGCCTGGGTTGTTTGGAGATCTCCATGGGAGGCCACGACTCTTCCAAGTTTTGTCTTTCACACAGCATGTGGGAGTTGAGGGGAATCTCCTGGATTCTTCTACTCTGTCAAACTTTAGTGCCGTTCTGTAGATCAGTGGTTCTCAACCTTCAGGATGCTGCGACCCTTTAATACAGTTCCTCGTGTTGTGGTGACCCCCCACCATAAAATTATTTCATGGCTACTTCCTAACTGTAATTTTGCTACAGTTATGAATCGGAATGTAAATATCTGACACGCAGGGTATCTGACCTGTGAAAGGGTCTTTTGAGCCCTCAAGGGGTCATGACCCACAGGTTGAGAACTGCTGCTGTACAGCAGTCCACATGTCACAGTCCACATGTCACAGTCAAGGTCTGCATGAGTAATAAACTATCATCTTTAGAAGGAGAAATTGCAGACTGGGAGTGAGGCATGGTTCAGTGGGTTTTCTTTTGCTTTTTGTCATTTTCAGTGTTGAGAATCAAATCCAGGGCTTCCCACGTGCTAGGCAAGTGCTCTATCCCCAAGCTATCTCCCCAGCCCTAGACTATGGGGTTTTTTGTTTATTTGTTTGTTTTTTTGTTTTTTTGAGACAGGGTTTCTCTGTGTAGTTTTGGTGCTTGTCCTGGATCTCGCTCTGTAGACTAGGCTGGCCTCGAACTCACAGAGATCCGCCTGGCTCTGCCTCCCCAAGTGGGAGGATTAAAGGCGTGTGCCACTGCTGCCTGGCCTAGATTATGTTCTTAGAAGCTCCCAATGTTGGAAGCTGTACAGGTAAGTGCCTGGGTGGATTCCGACTTGAGAGGTTCTAGGGACATTCCCTGGTGGAATTCTACCCTCGGGGACTTGACGGTGCCCTCTTTCCCAGAAATGAACACTGTGCTCTGGACATGGCTGTTTCAGCTGAGCTCACCAGATTGCTTCTTGGCCAGGCTCCCCAGTGTGGCAGAGGGAAAACTGGGGGTGGGCGTGGGGGTTTGGGAGGAGAGCCCGAGTGATCCCATCTGCCCTGGTCTGACCCCGTTCAAGGCTGTTTTCTTCTTCAGAGAATAGTTTGTTTATTTGGAAGATGGTCTATTGCTTTTTTCTTTTTTAATAGCTGAAACGTCTTTTTTTTTTTTTTCAATCTCTTATAGTCTCATGACAGAAACTTGTCCCAGTCAGACCCATCTTCAATTTGGCAAGCCTGGATGGTCAGTTGTGTGAATCAAAAAAGGGGATTGTTTGTGTCTCTGTGGGGAGACAGTGTTTTCTCAGCAAAACTGAGAGGATGCCACCTCAGCTGAACTGAGCAGGTCACCCCCTTGGGGACTGTGCACCAGGCCACTCCCTGAATGCCACATGCCCACAGACTCAGTGATGGCCTGAATCAGGGCTCTCTTCCAGATCTCAGTGCCCTGACTCCTCTCGCTTTATGCAGCTGCCAAAACTCTCAGTGTGCTCTTGGTCCAACGTCTGGTGGCGCTTCTTAATGTTCAGCTGAGCCGGCTTCTAGCTGAAGAGGCCGGAGAGGGGGCGGTACCTTGCTGCAGTGGGTGGTTTGGAAAAAGATGGAAGGGGATACTGGACTCTGTGTGCCTTGTGGAGGTGATGAGGTCACTTCCTCTTTACACAGGTGTGGGACCGGCAGCGTGGGTCGGGGACTGGAAGGAGTACAAACCTCGCAATCCTACAGTGTGACAAACACCCCTCAGACCTTATGTTTTATCTTCCAAATGTAGAGGGAAAGAGGACCCAGCGCAGCGCTGCATTTTCTGAGCAGAATTGTCTCCTGTATCGTTACCTGCTCTAATGTCACCTACACGTCTTTGTCTCTACAGAGACAACCACTAAAACCATTTGTTTGAGGTGGGGGCTATAGCTCTGTTGGTAGAGTGCTTACCTCATAGCCATGAAGCCCCAGGTTCGATCCCCAGCATTTCATAAACTGGTGCCAGCAGTTGGGAGGTGGAAGTGGGAAGTTTAAGGTCATCCTCAGCTGTATAGACTTTGAAGCCAGCCTGGAATGCATCAGACCTTACCTCAAAATAGGGGTAGGTATTTGTTTTCAAGTAATCAAGCATTTTCTGGTTCTTTATAATTTCAAGAAACATCTAGTTTTTGTCAAACTTGCTGTTTCTTTCCAAAACATTTTATTGACATTTACCAGCGAATAATGTTTCGACGAATTGATGACACACAGATGATTGACCTGAGGAAAGGCAGTGGCCACAGGTTCAACCATCTTTGTCTTCTCAACCCCACAGAGTGAGGCTGGCAAGAGATACCAGGAACCCAGATCCTTTGTAATGAGAGCATGAACTCGAAGCAACTGGGAGTTTTTGAGAGGAAAGCAAGAGACAGGGATATGCTGGCTAATTTATGTCAACTTGACACAGACTGGAGTCATCTGAGAGGCAGGAACCCCAATTGAGAAGATGCCTTTATAGGTCAGGCTGAAGGCAAGCCTGTAGAGCATTTTCTTAGTTATTAATGGGGATGGGCCCAGCCTATGGTGGGTAGTACCATCCCTCAGCTGGCGGTCCTCGGTTCTATAAGAAAGCAGGCTGAGCAAACCACAGGGAGCAAGCCAGTAAGCAGCACCCCTCCCTAGCCTCGACATCAGCTCCTGCCTCCAGGATCCTGCC